TCTCTCTCTTCCCCCTCTCTCTGTCTCTCTCTTCCCCCTCTCTCTGTCTCTCTCTCTCCCTCTCTGTCTCTCTCTTCCCCCTCTCTCTCTGTCTTTCTCTCCCCCTCTCTCTCCGTCTCTCTCTCCGTCTCTCTCTCTGTCTCTCTCTTCCCCCTCTCTCCGTCTCTCTCTCTCCCCCTCTCTCTCTGTCTCTCTCTTGACATTCAGGAACAGAGGCAAATTTTTATGACAAAACATTTTTCAACATTTGTCACGGAGCAGCTGGGAGTCAGTATTTTTGATTCTCTCAGCACCTGCCCAAACCAGCTGCTGAGGAACATTGTGCTTTTCATATTGCACATACCATATACATTGTATTTTTTAGGGAAGCACCAATATCGATAAAGCAGAACCGTTTTTTTTTCCCGGTACTCACCGATACCAGAAGTCCCATTAAGGAAGCCAGGCTGCGTGTAATGACTCATGGCTGCATGACTTCCTGATTAGCCGGGAAGCTGGGCGGCGTGTAATGACTCGCCACCCGGCTTCCCGATTGGCAGGGAAGCCGTCCCCATGCTTCTCGTCACAAGTAAGCATGGACTCGGCTTTTTGGCCAATCGGGAACCTGAGCGCCGAGTAATGACGGGGCGCCCGGCTTATTGATTGGCCGGGAAGCCGGCTCAATGCCTCCTCGCCATGAGGTGACGAGGGAGAATGAAGCTGGCTTCCCGGCCAATCAGAAAGCCGGGCATCGCGCCATTACACGGTGCCTGGCTTCCTGATTGGCCAGCTTCCTGACCAATCATGAAGCCATGCAGCGAGTCATTACACACTGTGACGAGGGAGCATGGAGCCGGCTTCCCGGCCAATCAGGAAGCCAGGCAGCATGTAATGACTCGCTTCTCAGCTTTCTAAAACCATAAGTCCGGGTATCGGGCTAGGCATCGGAGCATTTGGGCGAGAATATGTTGGAGGAGGGGAACCAGGAAATGCAAAATATAAGCAGAATAAACTTCAGTGTTCCCTGCACCACTGCAACCCCTCACTAACAGATCGGGACTTCTGAGTGAAAGGAAGCCTAACAGTGACAATACATGGGCCTTGGTGGCCATTTACAATGCATGGGCCTGGGTGGCCATTTACAATGCCGGCTCCATGCTCCCTCGTCACGAGGGTACATGAAGCCGGCTTCCCAGCCAATCAGAAAGCCGGGCGCCGTGTCAGTACAGCTTCCTGATTGGCCAGCTTTTCCACCAACCAGGAAGCTGGGCAGTGAGTCATTACATGCTGCCCAGCTTCCTGGTTGAGCGGGAAGCCAATCAGTGATGAGGGAGCACGGGGCCGGCTTCTCGGCCAATCAGGAAGCTGGGCAGCGTGTAATGACTCGCTGCCCGGCTTCCTGATACCGGAAGCTCAAGTATGGGTGCTAGGTATTTGGGCGAGTACTCGCCCAAATACTCTGCATCGGCACCGCTACCAATACTAGTATCGGTATCGGTGCATCCCTAATATATATAAAATATGTTCTAACAAGAAAATGTCATGTTATCCTTAGCAACCAATCAGATCCCTTAATTCATTTTCAACAGGAGTTTCCCTTTAATTTGCTGGTAATGGCTTTAAAAAGAGCTCCTCTGTGTAGAACTTGAGAAGGATTTATTGGATGTTCTTTTACTGGTTTTTATTTCTAATTCTTCTGGTATAATTCTGGACGATGCCGAGTTGAGTTTAAGGAAAAGCAATGAGCAGCATTGGGAAGCCGATTCTGTTCTTACCAGTGGACCTCTCGCTCTTCTCCCCATAGTCCTTGTAAACATTGTTTGACTATATTTCATCCTTTCACTGCCATCTTGTGACCAAAACACATAACTGCAATCAACTGTACCATGGCAGTGACCTTTTCTATGTCCCTTAAACACATAAGTGCTTTATTGAGCCATGAAGGGGACACAGCGCTGCTTGGAGAATCCAGGCACAGAGCTAAATATATAGTTAAATATGGATATGGCATGGGTGGGCAAGTTCGGCCCTCCAGCTGTGCTTTAACTACAAATCCAGACATTCCTCTGTCTCTGGGGGTTATGCCTGACTGTCAGTCATGGGACTTGTAGTTCCACAACAGCTGGAGGGTCAGAGTTGCCTACCCCTGGTATATGAGTATTGTTTTACCTGGCAAAGAATTATCAATTTTGTTCAGCCACTCTTGTGATTTACACAGATCTGCCACACTGCACCACCATCAAAGTTACTCTATTTCTTCCTGGTTCTTATTTACGTATTACAGGTGTCTGCAGCACATTCAATGCATGCACCGTTTCACATGCTGTACATTCACGTCCGTCCCTGTCCTCAGGGTGCTTACAATCTAAGGTCTTTATGTTACATGCATATACACACATACAAGGACCAGCTTAGACAGGAGCCAATGTACTGACCAGCATGTCTTTGGAGTGTGACAGTAAACCGGGGGGGCCTGGAGGAAACCAATGCAAGCACAAGGGGAGCATACAAACTCCATGCAGATAGTGTCCCAGCCAATTTAGTGTCCAACCAGAAATGCTAATCGTATAATTAACCGTTACAGCTTGGCTGCTATCCAAGTCACAACCAAGCTGAATGGACGAGGGTCTTGGTGCATATTCATTGTCCCTCTATAAAAATAATTCAGCAGTGATGTTCCAATAAACGAACTCTTTGGACTGCCAATACTGGTGGTGTGCTGGTGACATTTATTCACCTCCAATACAATGGTCACCAAAGTTCACAATCATGGACAGTTTTTCTGTTCACTAGTTTTAAGTTTTATATAGAAGAGAATGTCTGGAATTGCAGGCTCCAGCGTCCACTTTGTGCAAGTTTGCATTCATTCGAAAGCAGCATTTCTCAACCTTTTTTTAGTTATGGCACCCTTTAAAAGTATGCAAAATCTTGAGGCGTCCCTGTCTAAAATGTCATGATTTTTAAGGGGGACCCCATGCAAAAACAGATTCCTCTCCCTCCTTTCACATCAGAGTCATCCTTTGCATCAGTAGCCCAACTTTCACATCAGGAGCTCCACTTTCATATCAGAATCCCCCCTCCCCCCATTTCACATCAGTCATCATTCCCCCCCATCATATCACAGTCCTGCTACTACAAAATGGGCACCCCTGAGGAGGCCAGGAGGCACACCAGTGTGCCATGGCACCCTAGTTGAGAGAGGCTGTTGTAAAGGGATCTGTGCTGTCACGGACGGAGGCTACATACAGGCCACGCACATCCCCCATCTACCCATAAAAGTTTTGTACAACAAAACCCAAAAGAACCCACTGACACCTGCAAGAAATGAGGGACAAACTACACAACCACACCACCAAAATGACCCTCTATAAAAATAATTCAGCGCTGCTGAAGAATATTGGAACTAGTTATGTCTGGTTCACTTTATTATAGAAAATACATTTGTCTTATGGAGCACAGAGCTATATACACTGCTCGCATAAACATTTAAACCCTCCCGAACAACCCCATCTATCAGTCAAATATTAACTGGCTAAAAAAGGAACTCCTGTGCCGGAGTGACCCGGTTTACAGTTCTGTGCAATAAATACAGATGTATATATAACTATAGGGGAAGTGATGGATATGGTGCAGAGGTGACGGCTGTAATAAACACTCAAGGTACACAGTTGCATAAAATATACAGTAGGTCACAACATGCATGCGAGTGCTGGGCAGAGTGCTAACATATATTGCAAGAAGTACTACATGAAGTGTGTATTAAATGCCCCAAGTCTTGCCTCTCTGTATGACCCAATGGTGGTTCCTCCCTCCCGGGTAATTCCTCACATGAACATCAATACAGCATGACCAAAGGAGATCTTAAAGGAGAACTATGGGGTTCAGGGCTTTTCCTTATAGTTCTCCTTAGGGTAACGGGAGGACACAAACTAGCGTCCTCCCGTCACCCTAGGCTCAGTATATAGGGAGCTACAGGCTGTTTTCACATGGCTCAGTAGTGAAAGGAAGGAAAAGTACCTTTTGTAAGCATCTAAAAAGTCAAATGAGGCAACAAACTGTGTATGGAGACTTCAGGCAAACAATTTAGTTTAGGCCTAGAGATGAGTTTTGGGCTCATTCTGTGGGGGAGGGGGGGGGGGGGGGGTCCTTTCATACATGCGTCAGCATTTAACTTACAAGTAGCTAACTCCATGAAGGGGACACCAGAGGCGTGTAAATCGGGGATAGACTCTTGGTGGAGATTTATATTCCATGTCCTCTGTTCCCCTCTGCAGAGCGTTCTACCATTCTACGTGGCAACAAAACTGAGCAAAATCCGCAAGCCGACATGGGACAAGCCCAGCCCGGAGAATTACGTGAGATCGGCCTTGAACACCGTGGGCTTACAGAGCAGAACCAATGGCTACCCAGCCCACGCCCTTCTGGTGAGTTAATGTGGACTGTATGGGGCACCAATTACTGTTTTTGTTTTTTGTTTTTTTTCAAATCTTGTGATTTATATGAATTATATTTTGGGAAAGCATTTCCTAATACACATGACCTCGTCCTCCCCCTCCGCCCCCAGATTGTCAAATGATCTAGACATACCGGTTTTATTAACTTTAAAGATATTAGTGGCTCATTTCCCGTGAAATATTGGCCATCCCATATCATAAGTGTATCTACAGTGTATCACATAGATAGTTCCATCGCTCAGGCTGGGTTCACAGCTGGGCGTTTGCTATATGCGTGTTTTTGCCCTTGCGTTTGCAGCGCGTTTTTCTGTCCAATGAAACGTGCGTTCGACGCTGGTTTTTTAACCGCCCTGGAGGTATGATTTTTGTTTTTGGTTTGTTTTTAACTTTTAAACTTCCCGCCGGTTCCGCCCCCCCCCTGCGACACGGACGCTCGAAAGGGACGGAAGACGGATGCAAGCAGCGGCCCGGAGGACACAGCTGGGATCGTGGACAAGGTAAGACCTACCGCTGTATTCCAGAGTGTGGCTCGGGGTTACCGCTTTGGTACAGAAAATTAACCCCGAGCGACACTCGAGAATGCCAATGGATACGCGCTGAAATCTGCACCATCGCGCGAAAATGAAGCTCAGGTACTTTTTTCGCGCGTAGGGCGTTCTTCAGCGCAACAAAACGTGCTGAAATACGACCAGGTGGGAACCACGCTCGTAGCAATTAATAGGATTTCACGTCTTGAGCGTTTTTCACTGCTTCGATCAGCGCTGAACCCAGCCTTAATGTTTTACTGAGGTCATAGTAACAAAAAGTAGATCTAAAAAGGGGAAAAGACATCATAACACTAACATTTTGGAGACACAAAGGTCCCACAGACGTCACTTTAAGAAAGGGGACCTGTAATATAGTTATAAAAAAAGAAAGGGGACCTGTGTGTCTCCGAAATGTCAATGTTCTAATGTCCTCCTCTGTCTTTTATATACTTTTTGCCACTATGAGGTTGTGAGGTTTGGAACTTCGATGTGCTGCACTTCTTGTCACATTTATCGCAGTTGGCTGAGAATCCTACAAAGCGTTGAAGGTTCAGATGCGGGATGGATTGTTCTCCAGCTTTGTATTGCTGTCTGTGCCCCTACCTGGGAGAGTCACCCTCCTCTATTTGTCCATTGTCTCCGAAAATGAAAGGGCAAATCCAAAATTTTGAGTTACCACCAAAACAGGAATCGAGTGGAAATTATTAAGTGGGAACAACTTCCCCCATGACAACGGTCTATGATGGGATTTCTCTCACTTTGGAGAGATCTCCTCCCACTTTCTGTTGTGTCTATGGTACAGGATGTGAAGGGAAATGTCCCAATAAGCATACATATTTTTATATAAATGTAAACAGGAGAATTTAATTAAAGCCTGTTGGGCTTTGCCCCAGTAAGATCCTATCTCCTGCACACAGATTGGTCGATCCTGAGACGCCAACCCCGGTACACAGACTGGTGTTACCGCCCCTTCCAGCATGTTGTTAAGCCAGATCCTGCTTTAGGGCCAACTTCCTTATCAGACAGTTAAATGAGGTCAGAAACCTGAGCTCTTAAAGGAGAACTATGGGGTTAGGGCTTTTCCCCATAGTTCTACTAAGGGTAACGGGAGGACACAAACTAGCGTCCTCCCGTCACCCTAAGCTCAGTATAATCCGACAATTGTCTGGATCCGCCCGGCTGCGTGAGTGACAGCTGGCTCTGCCTATCTAGAGGCAGAGCCAGCTGTACCCGCCCCCTCCCCCGTCCGTTTTGCCAGTCAGCGCTGGTGGATTTTAGCGGGGAGGGGGGAATCCAGCCCCTCCCCTGTCACGGCAGAGAGCTATGACAGGATCGAGAGGTGAGCAAACGCCGGTATGTGTTCTCTCACCTCCCGATCTATTGAGCCGACCTGCGACAGTCTCATTGTCACAGGTCGGCTTGAACTATGAGGTGAGTGAAAAGCACTCACCTCATAGTCCTTCTTTAAAGCGGACCTTTACCCCCTTTCACTAAAAATCAAATCATGATGCAGCTCTGCATGCTGGTTTAACATCCTCTTACATTTATTAGATAAACAAGCATGTTTTTAATTTACTTACAAATAGTTTGTCACTTCCTGGTCCAGTTTTGGCACAAATTATGTAATCGTGCCCAAGCATTGCATCCTGGGAAGGTGACGTCAGCAGAGCATTGCTGGAAAATCTCATCTGTAATCTCACAAGATCTCAGGGAAAGGCATTTTCCTCCCCCGAGGTGATGTACATGGTCACATGTCCTAGTCACATGTGCCAGAGTTCCAGGAAGTAAAAGGAGATCTAGTAATCTGCCCTTAGTTAACATGGCCACTGTCAGAAGAATGGGGAGGGAAAGAGAAAGCCGGCAATTATCTAGAAGTATCCGATTTGTAGATTGTCATCAGTAAACATTTCTAAAGGTGTGTTTATTGTTATTTTAAAGAAATGGGTAAAGTTCTTCTGTAAGAAAGTTCATTCTGATGTTGGTTCTTCTGTTTCCTCAGGGTTGGGTCACCGGGTCTCTGCTTCCCTCCTGCCTCGTCGTGAAAATAGCTATGAATATGAACAAAGGACTACGGGCTCGATTTCTGAAGAGGGCCAAGAAAGAATAGAAGCTTGTTCTACCAAAAGAGTATTAACTCCTGATCGTTCCCTGCCTTCTAATGATCCTATAGAATGTAAAGGGCTTCCAGTGTATTTAGGGATGACTTGAAGACCCATAAATTTAGTCTCTGACCTCTCAATATTTGTTTTTTCTCCTTTTGCTTTGATGTATCTAAATCCCCTTTTTTACAGGTAGATTACCTTCAACTAAAACTAACTATGCATATCATTTATATTACTTTGTTTCTCTTCCAATCCTATTTAAGCTTGTGCTGATTGGGGCTTATAACAGATTAAGAATTGCTACTACTTTTACAATATGCGGCCACCTTTGTTTAAAAAAACACTCTTGGATGATCATATAGATACATGTGTGACCAACCCGATGGCTTACCATAAGTCTATAACATGACTGTGATTCTTACTGAATTTAAAGCATTACTTCATTTCTCTGGAATGTTCTCAACCTGAATAATAGTAAAAATGAACAATATTTTTTGCCCTGTTATTTAACTCTTGTGATTAGTGTCACTTTAAGTGACAGCTGCCACTCCCATTTAGATGGTTAACCTACCGAAACTGGAGGTGAAGGGTTTTTTAAAGGCTTCAACAAATGCAGCTCAAAGCTCGTTTTCCAGCTGGGTCCTAGAAGAAGATGGTTGAACACACCAAGAAGGTTGGCATTGTGGGTAAATATGGGACCTGTTATGGTGCTTTCCTAAGGAGAAAATTAAAATTGGCCAATATGCCAAGTGCGTATGCTCCTTCTGTGGCAAGACCAAAATAAAAAGGAAAGCTGGAATCCGGTACTGTGGTCCTTGCGTGAAAATTGTAGTTGGAGGAGCCTTGACTCTACAAAACCACCTCTGCTGCCTTGTGATACCACCCAGGGGCGTCCCGAGGCTGGGTGACACCCGGAGCGGTAACCGAGTGTCCCCCCGCCGAGACGTCGCTGCACATGCGCGATGACGTCATCGCGCACCCGCTACAGTATTCCGATACCTGCCGGCGGCCATCTTGGTGATGGACGCCGTCAGAGAGAGGAGGGTACAGTCACCCGGCGGGATAAGGTATGCCGCTGGGTCCCCTCCAGTCGGGCGTTCGGTCCATGACCGTGCGCCCGACTTTTCAGAGGGGGGTGACACCAAAATGACTGTGAGTCATTTTGGTGTCACCCCTCCAATGGTGTCACCCGGTTGCGGGCCGCACCCTCCACTGCTCCAGGTTGCAGAGTTTTACCTTTTTTAAATAATAAAAACTACACAAGGGAGGCGCACTGTTTTTATGTTTCCTGATAAACCAGCCACCTAATATTCAAATGTCATTTTACATGACAATTATTCGGGGTCCCTATTTTTCAAACTGTCACATGTGCAAAAGCTGCAAAAATGTGTTACCGCTCCTCCTCAGTAGGCAGTAGTTGCTGAGAGTTGTGGGGTCAGACACAACATGGCTTCCAATGGCTGACTTTAAATTAGGGCAAGCAAAGGGAACACACTCTTGCTGTCTGGTTTCTAAGACCAGCAGCTTTGCTTATTTCCAGCTCTTGTAGTTTCTAAAACGGAGAAAATATTAATGAGTATTTTGGTAGAAGAGACTCGGGGGGGCTGATTTATATATCTTCTGCCCAGTGTTTAGCTGGACGAATGCCGTTCGCACTGCGCTACTGCCACTGGATGGTGCTAAGAAGCATAGGAATGCTCTTTGGCTCCATCTAGTGGCGATAGAACGGCATTCACCCAGCTGTACCCTGGGCAGAAGGTTTATATATCATCAGTGGCCCCCTCATTGCCGAAGAAGAAAGACCCAAAAGAAATTGGCGGTGGAGAACATGGACCTGGCATTGTTGCAGGAGGGCAAGTTCCCTCACCTGACCTTACTCCGACCCCACTGGCCATGCCGCGCTGTGCCTGCTGAGAAATTTAGTTTTCAGCGGCAGCTCTATGTACCGTGAAAGCCGAGGCAGACGTGTGTGCGGGCGGGAGGGAGGTAGGTCTTATTTTCGGGGAAACACGGTAGTAGGATCTGGTGGATTACATCTTATTAAACCTATGCATAGGCAGATCTAAAATCTCTAGCTTTGTTTTCATTAAAATATTTGAATGCATTTTAAAGCCGTACATTAATCTGCCTTTATACTAGCTTCCTGTACTTCTATTAAAGGAGAACTATGGGGTTAAGGCTTTTCCCCATAGTTCTCCTTAGGGTAACGGGAGGACACAAACTAGCGTCCTCCCGACCTCCCGAGGTGAGGGAACGCCGGTATGTGTTCGCTCACCTCCCGATCTACTTAGCCGACCTGTGACAGTCTCATTGTCACAGGTCGGCTAGAACTATGAGGTGAGTGGAAAGCACTCGCCTCATAGTTCTCCTTTTAACATAAGCATTCAGACTTGGAGAGCAGAAGGCAGCACAATAAAGCAGTCAGGTATATGGAATTGCACAGTGCCGTGAATCTAACAAAAGCATATAACTGATTGGAGGAGAGTGCACAGAGATGACCTCATCAGTGAACTTCTGCTCCTATACTATCCAATCACGCTTGTGACTGAAGCAAAGAAAACTTCATGGTCAGGACTTGGCCACGGTTCTTTTCAGGGGTGTCTGTGTTAGCCAGAATTTAAAAAAATCTTTTGGCAAGTAAACCGCTTGACATGTATGTTTTTTTGTTTTCCAACTTTATATTTAACGGTTTGCCCACACCTACGCTTTATATCAGGCAAGTTGACGTCGGCCAAAGAAGCTTGGAGCTGTTGCAGGATGAACACTGGGACAAACAATGACTTTGAGACTAGACATTCCCTTTCTTGCATTTCAGCTGAGAGTGGCAGATGCCCCTCAATGTGTATTGGGCATTGTGGTACATACGGGAGCATGTTCATACGGGTGTAATAACATTGACATTGACTATTCATATATCGGAATGTATGCTCGAAGTTAAACATTTTGGCAGCAGACACGTACTGTATGTTTCATATGGGGTGGTTTGTACAAATTCGGGGGAGGAAAAGGATGTTTTTTATACTAATAAAATTAATTGTGAGCAAAATATGCATCATGTGTTCTTTTCCCACTTACATTGTATTTGCTGTTTGTTTGCTTTGTGTGCACACAGTGCTAGATGCAGTGGCGGAACAATTGCCAAAGCGACCCAGGCGGCCGCAATATTGACCCAGGGCATAGATGGGCACGGCCAGGACGAGGAACAAAGGGGTCCCCTTGATGCCACGTGGGTCGCTATGGCATCTCAGGCTGCTGGCTGTCCCTGGCGGCTGTGAGGAGGAACGCGCCACTTCAGATCACTGACAACCTGTCAGTGTTCTGTGCAGTGCGCGCGTTCCTCCTCACAGCCG